GTGGGGCTGCGTGCCACCCCACAAGGAGAGGCGCGGAGCGGCCAGAAGGAGAGGGAGGGGGGGGAGAGAGGTGGGGGGGGAGAATGACTGCAATGGGGAGTGCTGGGTTTGCCATCACTAAGCGATGCGGTCATGTGATGTCTCGCTTTACAACCGCATCGCTTAGCAACAGAAATTCCGGTCCAATTGTGGTCGTAATTTGAGGACTACCTGTAATCAAGACATATTTGAATGACAGCTCTCCATGTACCTTAACCACTAATAGCACACTGACTCAGCTAATGGAATTGATATGAACATTGACTTGGACCTATTTCCTGGGTAGGGATGTGATAGTCTATTCAGTTATTGCTCCCTAATAATCCTGCCTATGAATACACTACTGGAATAATTTGGAGGATGCTGCTGCAGTCTTAATGTAGATAACAGCATATATTAGGGGACAGCTATCTTTTCTAGCCTTAAACATCCTCCATAATATCAAAATCTTGGAGCCTGTCACTTTTCTCATATGGTATCTCATGACATTTCAGCATTTTTATCCTGGAGGAGAGGGGTGCTACACTGGTGCCATCTGGCTTCTGTGCATTTTATTAACCATATAAGCAGTATCCGGCAGTACAGGATCATTTTCTTTCTTCAAATATTCCACAATCCTCTTCAGCAGGATGTTATTTTCTAACTCAGTTAGAATGACCTGCTCTATGCCGAGTTCCCCACTCTAGCCTTCGATCACCGCCTAGTCCTTATGTCCCGATTGCTACAGGTGCTTAGATGTAAGTACATGATGCATCCATGTATTCCCCATGCCTGCCCTTCTGATTCCCCTTATATTGGATTCTAGACTGTAAACTCCTAAAGGTAGGAACGTGTATTTTGGTACATAGAAATACACACTGGTTCAGCAATGCTCATCACACCACCTTATCATATAAAGTTTACTGTAAGAAAATGTATGTCAGGTACACTGACAGCAATATTCTTAAGAGGGACAATTATGAGCAAGTGTGTAAACAGTTTCAATTATATTGAATATGCATATATTCTATGGTGGCATGATCTGGCTTGAGAACACTGTGTGTGTGGTTTTTTTCCTGGAACACCCTACATTACCTTGTAATTCCAGCCCACAGACTTCCAGCAGACTTCCACAAACCATCCCTTAGAATGCTCGTGCTAGATTTGCTCGTTCACAGGGAAAATGTAAAGTGTTGGAGCCACAGAACGTTTTGCAGGAGACCAATTAGACCCAAAGTGTAAGTTGCTTTTGTTAAAGGAGGCAGCTGGAACGGCCCTTTTGACACCAAAGCCCATCTGAAAGAATGGCATGCACCTTTACTTCTCCTCTCGGAGCAGTTCTTTGCCTTGGTTGGAAACTGGTGCATTGATTTTCAGACCATTTTACTGGATTGCTATTTATTTTGCCTCACCTCTTACATTAATCCAAGCAATAAGGGCTTTTAAAGCATTCATAAATAACCCACTGCTGCTACTATTGGCATCTAGAAGCCAACCGTAGCAATGTTAAGCAACAACAAATTTCATAGTTCAAGAGGCACAGTTAAGAAAAAGGTTGCTCAGAAAAATCACTCATTTACTACAAAGATCCTTTAAAAAATGGCATGGAATCAGTCAAGTAACTATAGAAACCAATTTCTTAAGCTCCGCATCACACATCTCACACCTCAATTGTCTTTATTATTGTCTGCTGTCAGATCCTTAATCAGAAATGTGAACAGGCTTGATTTATTCAGTGGGGGAAAAGAATCTGTAGGTCAAGTTAAAAAAAATTCTCACTCACACAGTTTTCAACCTTAGGTATTTTCATTTAATTCTGTTCCCAGTAGCTCTGGGGGCAACTCCAGCGAGATCCAATATTAAGGCTCAATTAAAATAAGCTCCAATTAGTGGAGCTTTTTTCTCTCCGGCTAAAAAAGTCAGGAAATGGATATTGGGAAATGTAAAAAGTCAGCTACTGAGAGGAGGCTGCAGCAGACATAAATGAACTTATTTGTTGATTTCTGCAGTTGCTATGCAGAGGCCTCTGGGAGTAACAGCTTAACCAGTCTAAGCTATAAACTAAAACCCCTGCAGCTAAACATGAACTGTGTGAAACAAGGGCTCCATTCCAGAACAGAAAACTGCTGGGCCCAGAAAATTAAAAGCCAGAGGCGTTTTCCATTTAAAACTAAATCCCAGTACCACCTCCCAGCCAAAGAATTATAAGCAGTATCAGATTTACAAAACGAACAATTACCCTGGAAAAATGTAGGCTATTGTACAGTCCCAGATGCTAAATCTTAAAGTGTCTTTTTTTCCCCTCCTAATCCCACATTATATTCCTATCCAGCACAGTGCTGTAGTGGAGATCTGCCTAGAAATAGTTCTTTGTGAACTATGAAAATAAAGTGTTAAGAGCTCATAATTCACTGGCCTCATTTGAAGCATCGTCCTTGCCTGCAGCAGTTCCTGTCCTTCCCCAAGGCCTCCACAAATGGTATGCAACAGCAAAATAAACCCTGACCTAATTGCCAGGGGAGGGCTCCCAACCTCTCCTCCTAACAGGAAGCCAAACGTGGTAACTTGAAAGTCGTACCTCTTTTGCTTTCTGCTTTAAACGCAGCTGCTCTGGATCTTCTTTATTGCAACGGCTCTATTAAAAAAGGAGAGAGAGGCAGAGAAAGAAATTTAATGGAAGTTACCCAAAATACAAACATTATCTTTAAATATTTAATCAGCTACCATTTTCTGTTCTGATTGGAAATCTTAGCTCTAGGGGCTTGATGCCGCAAGCCGGCCTGGCTTGATTCCCCCCCCCCGCCCCCATGCCCAAACGTCCCTTCATCGGGGACGGTCGCCTTCCTTCTAGCCCAGAGGAAGCTTGAACTAAAAATGATGCTAACATTGTCAGTCAGGTCCAGCGTAGGCATGATGATGTTCATGTCAGGAGCAGACACGTGGGGAGAGAAAAGAAAAAGAAAGGCAGAAGGAAAAAAAGAATGCTCTAACCCCATGTTTTGCTGGAATAATACAGCAGACCGCCTTAGGGGGCCTAATTTTAAACTCCCTTATTTCAGAATGAGGTAGATTTAAAAATAGAGCCATTTATACGGGCTATGATAATCGGTTAAAACGTGTCTGCCACAAGGTCAATATAGACGATCAGCCAGCAGATGCTCTTAGTAAGTCTGCAAAAACTGGCTACAGGCCAGTTAAGCCCGTGACACCTGTAAGATGGGAATAAAACTGACCTATTTTATGGAAAGGGGACAAGACCATGATCCTGTGCAGAGGGAACGCACCGTTTGCTAATTGGAAGTTGTTAATTTCAACTTAGGCCTCTCAGTACCATTAGTTGCATTCACCATCAAACTTCTGTCCAACGCTTCCAGCACTTAGAACAAGCACTCTATCGGCTATTTTCTTGCCATAGTTTGCTTTAATATTAATTTGTCTAATTCCTGGGATTTTTTCCCCATCTTATTTACATGTTCTTGCCTATTTGGGGGGAGGTTAACTTTAGTTCTCTTGTATAGTTTATCCTTTCCATTAATCAGGAAGTCTTAAGGAGATTCCACCTTCTTCCATGGGGATCCCCAGGGCTCTGAACAGATGGAAAGCTCCAGAAATCACCTCTACTTGGCGACAGGGGAGGGGGGAACAAGTTTTCTAACTGCTTAGTTATTGGCATCTACTACACAGAATAGTCATATCATTCTTTTGGCTGCAACCTTTTAAAATTATTTGCTTTAATATAGACAGATAAAGAGAAAAAAAATCCCAACAAAGAAAACAAACAGAAAAAAAGATTTCTGCTGCAATTCCGTGCCTTCTGAATTCTCTCACCTTGGCTGCTCGGAACAACTTTTCTTTTTCTTCTTCATCCCTCCTCCGTTTCTCAACCTGATCCAATTGTTCAAGAAACTGAAGCTGAGCCCGTGTATCATTAGATAAAATATACTTGTCACTCCCCTTAAAGAGAAAGAGCAAATGCCTAATTTATTGCAGAAAACAAATTTCTGACTTCAACATAAGAATCCGTTTAATTACAAAACAGCATAGTATACAGTATTTTGTTTACCATATAAAACAAGAACCTTCTAGAGATAAATACCTACATATTTGATAAGTCACTGAAAAGCTAACATGTTTGCTCTGTGCAAGCATTTAAAGTACAGGGGCCCTTTACTCACACTGAATTCAATTTCTGATTCACTTGCATATCCCTTTGTGGCACCTGAATATAACTTGTCTTTCATTTGCAAGTAGCCATTCAGGGGAAAATACCCGGCAGAAACTTCAAAAGCCGTTCTGCAGTCTCACTGTTTTAACTGCCATACAACTGGGCTCATGGAATTTTTAAATAAAGGCAGCTGTAGCTAACCCCCCCCCAATTGTTTTCTGGTGAAGTTTACATTAATGCTGAGGTTTTTCTGAAAAAGCATTCTTGTGATGGTAGGCTTTCTTATACCCAAACATGCCAAAACACACGGTTTCAGGTGTCTACTTTCAAAACAAGTCAAATGTCAAAAAGCAGACGTGAACTCTTTAGGGAAAGGCTATGGAGCTAACCACTGATTAATCATGAGTGTCCCACAGCCCATTTAAATATACATAATACATTTGCAAAAGAGATTTAAAATTAGATGAAGGGTTATTATTATTTATTTAAATTTATTGGCCACCCAGCCCCAGTGGACTCTGAAGGTTGCAGGTTGCCTACCCCTATCTTAATCAAAAAGTCCCAAACAACTCTATGAAGCCCCTACATACTTAAACAAAAATGGATGCTTTAACTGATCACAGTGGAAGGAACCTGTTTACATATTTAAACTCCCTTATGACTATGCCCAGTTTCTGTATTGCCAGACCTTATCCAAGCAAAACATCCCATCTTCAGCCATTACTATGGTTTAGTCTGCACTTTCCTCTCCCTATAGGTGCAAATAAAGCAAAGGAATCAGCACTCTGCAGATGGCTAGAAAGCTTTTGCTCTTTCTCAGTGTATATGACCAAGATCCTGTGAGCATAAAAGCAGTAAATTCTTCAAGGTACATCAAGATGAACCATCCCAGGGTACCCGTTATTTTAAAAAGACAAACTGAAGCTTGGCAAACATTATTTTTACCTTATAGGTCCTCATACGATGTTGAGCAATTAAAGTTAGTTTTTCTAGAAGCCCTCTTAATCTCTCCTGTGTAGCATGGGAGATCAAGTTCAGAACATCAGAATTAACTTCCATAATGTCATGCCTTTTACCTGTTGAGGCAGAGAAAATCCATTACGTATTTTAGTACTAGCTGATAATTGAAATAATTAGCACAGCAGGCATTCTGTTCCCCCTGGAAGTCATACCCATTATGAATAAAGGTTTGGGAGATTGTGATTTTCCTGGTAAAGTCACAACTTCAAAGATCTTAGACATTACATTAATAAAACCTAGCCTACAGCTTCAGAAAATAGACATTGTTTCACTTAGCCTCTAGAATCACTCTCCTTGCAAGGTCATTTATAGGATAAAGTTAATAGGAATGCAGAAATCAGGCCTTCTGGTTTGGAGAAGGGGAGAAGTAGTAGCTGTAGAAGTTCATGCCATATTCTGTTAATTTCAGTAATTAAAAATAGAGAATTAGTTTTTGCCCTGTTTGACACTGTACTTATTAAGTCCTGACATGTTAATGAACAGAAATATCTTTTGCATCATATTCCAGGCATGTTCATACCTGTACCATTTGTGCCCCAACCAAAACAACATATGGCACCTTGACCCACCCTCCTTAAAGAATAACTTGCAGGACAGCCCACTCAATTCAGACCCCAAAGCATTCTCTTTCCATTTCTATCATAACTGCAGCTTGTCTGGAATTTGCCTTTCCTGCACTGCCACTGTCCTTACTCCCTCTACTAACGTTCACAAGAGCAACAAGAATGCTGTTTGTTTCAAGTGAAACTGCCTGAACATTGTACTAAGAGGAAGCATCACCTCTGCAATGCCCTTAAGTTGCACATATATTAATTCAGGGTTCTTTGTCTGGTTGACAACTGACCTCCATCAGCACAGGCTTAGGAAAGTACTATGAGTACCTGGGCAATTCAGTGCTACAGAAGCAAACGACTTCAAAACACACACCCAAAGGCGTTTTCTTGCATCTGTACTCTCTTCCTCAGAGGTGTCATAACTGAAAATACCAACTGTACTGATGTAGAAAAGGCATCTTATTTTATGCCAGGAGTAAAATGTGCTCTTAAAATAGATGCATGCAGCTCCTGGCTTCTATGGGAAGAGTAGAACAAGAAAAACCACTGTTTAAAACTAAACAGTCACCTTGTTTTATATATTAAATTGTTGGGATGTGTTATCAACCAATAAATGCCAGGTTTAGGCAGAAATTTTGCCAATGCAAAGTAGCTTCACTCTGGTAACTCAGATGCTGAGCTCTGGTAATCAAAGAAAGAACTTGGATTTGTTTAAAACATGGATAGTCAATTTGCATGCCCCAGACTAGGTGTTCTGCATATCATTCCTAAATCTTTGGAAGCAAAACTCACCCAAATACAGCATCTCACTTTCCTCAGAACCAGAATACAGAAATACAAGGTTTACTCTCCAGGAAGCTAGAAGGATGCAATGAAGGCCAAGAAGAGTGCTTTCCATGTTTCTATAGTATCCTGGATTGCTGTTATTGTTGGAAAAAGTTTCTGTGATCTTATATTGTTGTTTGATTACCTTGAACTACCTGTACATGTTGCAGTTCTTGTAGACTCACTAGGATTACTGTAGCTCTTCTAGACATTTAAGTAAAGAAAGGAGCAAACCAATCTAAGACAACCAAAGAGCCCTGACTCTAGATACCTCTCGTCTTTTTCTGTAGAAAAGGCACAACAGTTATGAACAGTTATGTTCATTGTTAAGTCCCTCAGAAGCAACACTATTTAGAAGAGCAGCAGCACACATTAACTACTTCCAAATCAAAAGAAACTGCGATCAGATAATTCTAGTTGATACGTCCATGAAAATCAGGAAAATCAAATCAGAATTGTTCTTTTAATTTGGAAAATCAGTTCAAATTGGATTTCCAAAGCCATTTCTGTACATGCCCAAAAGCATCTAAATACTGTGGAGCCCTTGGTGCTCTCTGAGCTTGGTTGTTTGCCTGCAGACATTTAATTACCCAACTAGGTAACCTCATCAGTACGGGTGAGTGTGGGGTTTGCTCCCTGTTTATATACAGTAGCTTGCCCTGCTAATGTTGGTGGGGATGTGGTTTTCTCCTTGGTAGTTCCTTGATTAGGGTACTATTTTCTGCTTGATTGTCTGTTAATCTCCGCTTATCTGGGTGTTGGCTGCTGAAGATAATGTATTCTGGTCTTTTTGTTTCCTTCTTAGTTTCTTATTGTCTCTTTTGAATGTAAATGTGGTTTATTTCTGTGTGTCTATTGATGGCTGATGTGTCTGCGTGCCAAGCTTCCAGGAATTCCCTCGCATTTTTTGGATTTAGCTTGGTCTAGGATGCTCACATTTTCCCAGTTGAAACTAAGGTTGAGTCTGTCCATGTGCTGTGAGATTTATGAGTTTTCATTGGTCTTCTGACTGCTAGTTGGTGTTCATGGGTGCCCTCTGCTAGTCTTCTGCCTATCCGTCCTACATAGTGGCTGTTACAGTCCTTCTACTGTATGTTATAGATGACTCGTGTGTTTTCTTCTTGGGCTACTGGGTCTTTTGATTTACTTAAGATGTTTTGGAGAGCTTTAGTTAGTTTGTGTGCTGCAGTGATGCCATGTGGTTATAATAGTCTCTTGGTTGTTTTTTGATGTATGACAGTGTCATCCTTTTCATAGCTTATGTTGGTTGTGCTGTAGTGAGTTGGCAATGATCGGGTACTTTTTGATAAAGTTGTGTGGACATCCATTTTGTTGGAAGATATTGTATAGGCAGTCTGTTTCCTTCTTCTGGTGTTCTGGGTTGCTGCAGTGTGTTTATACTCATTTGAATAATATTCTTACAGAGTTAGTTCCTCTTGTGGGAGGTTAGTTGTTACTTTGGTAATGGAGCATTTGGTTAATGTGGGTTGCTTTTCGATAGACTTGCGTTTCTAATTTGCTGTTGTTTCCTCTGCTGATGAGGATATCCAGGAAGGGTAGTGTGTTGTTTTATTCTTCCCTTGTGAATTTTATTCCTTTGAAGTTGTTGCTGATTGTTTCATGTGTTATTCCTTTTTTATCATGACAAAAGGTATCATCTACATACTGGATCCCTACTTGTTTTTATGTGTGGGAGTGCTATAGTTTCTAGATGCTGCATTACAGTCTCTGCTTTGAGTCCTAAGAGCGGTGATCCCATGGGTGTTCCTCTGATTTGTTGGTATAATTGTCCATCAAACCGAAAGTAGGTAGTGAGGCAGAGGTTGATGAGGTCCATGTTTCTGGGTATTTTGATCTTAGTATATTTGGCTAGGCCAGGTATGTTGTACAGTACTACTGCCATGGATTCTTTCGCTAGTTCTGGATCTATTGACATAAAGAGTGACATCAAATGAAACCATAATTTCATCTTCTATTTTTAGGTCTTTGATTTTCTGGAGGCACTTAAATTCTCTTCTATTGAAGCATTTAAATCCAAAGTGATTCAGAGGAATCCTATTTTACAATTCCAATTTGGCACTTTCCAATTTAATTTGCAGATTTAACAGAATACTCTTTCAATCAAATCTCTGAACTGAATATTTGAACAGTCATCAAGAAGGGTCTAAATTAGCACTCTTGACATGAAGTCTGATTCTGGAATCAAGTTAACCATGGATTTAAGCTTGTGTCTGATCCTCTTAACATAATTTTTAGTACCATCATAGAAATTTGTTTTCAAATAGATGAATTTCTTAAGTAAATAAACTTAAAAATAAAGTAAGGATGCAGCAAAAAGTAACTTCCAAGGTATTTTCAGGAGAGCTGTATTACCAAGACAATGAACAAAGTTTCTTAGTTCATCCTATTTGGGTCAGGACATGTAACCTCTTTTCTAACTGCCACTAAAAGCATACAGTACTAATACCTCTGTTAGCACATGAGCTGGTCTTGGCAATCATGAGTTTTTGGACTAAGGACTTAAATAGTTGAAGGGAAAATCATAAACATTTATCATCACAAGGTCTTTAATGCAACCTTTACTTCTTTTGAGAAAACCATGCACGACAGACATAAAAAGCTCAAAAGGTTTAGTACTTGCTTGCAAATGTGTCAATTTCCTGAGCAAATGGGTAAAACAGTACTGGTAGATTTTTCTCCATTGCTTGTCTCATACATTTTCATTCAGAATCTATTCAGAAATGTTCTCTTGCAATTCTGCTCATGTTGGCCTCAACAAAATAACTCATGCAATGCCCGTGCAATGGCCCTAAAAAGTAGCATGAAATAAAACTTTGGTGAAGGTAACTTCAAATATAGGCCATTTGTTTCTAAGATGAATGTTGGAGCATAAATGGGTTCCCTTATATCCATTTTGGCAGTGATATGCCATCAGTTTACTGCTTAAATTGGGCAGCTTTACTTTGAAAAAAAAAATGTGTTTCTTCTTCAAGCAAAGAGCTGCACGTGCCTTAAATTATTCTTCCAACTTCTCACCTTTTTTTAAGATCAACTTTTGCAGCTCCTCTGAAGAGAGGAGGAGTTTCTCTGGACAAGGGCACCTAACAGAGCTGACTGCTTCAGAACTGGATGCCAATATGCACGCGTGCTCTTCATTCAAGTTAACACCAGCCATAGAAGCCACATCGTTAATGTCATCTTCTTCCCTAAAAGCAAACATACATTTTGGATTGGGCTATACAAGCAAATAAGACTGTTCCATTAAATACATGTAATACTTATCAGTAGAAGAAATTCAATTCCTTCACTTATTTGGCACATAGTACTAACATTTAGCAGAAAAAGGCTAATGGCTTAGTATTGTGTCCTTTACATTAAGAAACAAATTTAGATGACCAAAGTGATTAAGAAAGGAACTGTGGCCAGGCCTTGAAGGTCAGGTGAGACAGCCTAAAAACACAAGAGTTGAGAGGGTCAGGATTTACTCCCATAATTTTCAAAACCTTAGTCTCTGAACTAGCCAGTCCGATTCACACTAGGCTAATCCATAATAGGTCAGTACACACATCATGCTAAGCCAAAACCCAAAAATGTTACTATAAAACCAGGCCAACATGCAAATCTATAGTGTAAAAGTCAGCCTGTAACACCTGGCTTTTATCCAGAACAATATTTAACAGAAATCCACAAACACATAACTATGGCACAATAGTCCTTAATATTGTTCTGTTAACATCAGCCAGAAGAGGAAAATAGGGGGAAAAATAAAACAAGTTTATTTACGGAAAATCTAAATGAATTGAATAATATACTGAGAAGAATATTCCAATATGGGGAGGATGGCTGCTTGACCATGTTAGTTAGGAACAGCTGACAAACCTGTTGAGGAAGATTCATGTTCATTGCTGCAGAACATTTCACAAGTTGTCAAAGAAAGATATTCCTTTCGGTATGCAGGAATTTATAGGTATTACAAGATTACAAGATAAGCAGTAGGATTTGGTTAGGATGTGTCTTGTTCAGATTTCCATGCATTAAGCAATAAGAATTAGGATAATGAAGTCTGGCTTGGATAATTTCAGTGAACTCTGCTCTACTTTGCTTTGATTTCAAAAAATTCAAAGCTTTATATTTTCCTACCATCCCAAGAAGAAATCAAGAATACTGTCTTCTATGCTTTTTCAAGTAACAGGTTCAAATCTGCAAGCAAATGAAGCTTGTCAAATTTCTGGTGTGTAACTGGAAAAGCTTTTTCTAAGTCTATAAATTTGGAACATTGTTTTTAAAAAAATCCACTATGATTTTTGCAGGCAGTTGATATGAAATGGCATATATCAAAAGGGAATCTTAACAAAGTAACTTGAAGTATTTAGGACAGGTGTAGGAATTACAAACTTACAATGATCAAAAGCTAAATTTGATAATCTGCTTGTCTTCTGCTTTATTGTCACTAATTGCTATGCTATTTCTTCTACATCTCTCCAAAGAGAGAGAAAATCCCATACATTAAGTAGTAATTAAAGAGAAAGAGCTATGGTGAAGTCACGTTCTGACCAGAATATACACTTGACAGTTAGAAATCAGTACCTTCTTCTCTGACATTTCCTTATGTGGAAATGTTGGGAGGAAAATGTATAATTTTTGTAAAGTACTGTACATACTCTGCTGCTTGACTGAACACCACATCACTTTGGACAATTTATACTGAATTTCTTCAAAGAAGGCCACTTCAATTTGGGATTAATCTGAAAAAGATGTGTGGTCCTAATAAAAATCCACCAAAGGATAACATGAAGATGTTCAGGATTTTAATGAGGCATATTTGACTGTCCACTAGAAAACATGAATGCATAGTTTCATCACCTAAGATTTAGAAAGCTGTTATATTTGGGACCAAATACTTAGGATTACACAAATAAGAAACAATAACAGTATTTCCTTCTTCTAAGGCAGTATTTCTTGAACGCTTTGCTTTCAGGATCCCTTCCTCCTTTTAAAAATAATGGAGTTTGTATGAGTTATTTTTATCAATATTTACTGTATTAAAATTAAAATTGGCACATTCATACAATATTTATTTATTGAATCATGTAAAAATAACAATATTAAACCCATTAGATATTAACATAAATATTTTTCATGGAAAACCCTATTTTCCAAATAAAAAATAATCAGAAGAGTGACATTGTTTTAAATTTTTGCAAAAAGTTCAATATCTCGCAAATAACTTTGATTTTGTGGACCCTCTTTAAGAAATATTCTTCTAAGGTATTTGTGAACCATTCAGAGTGATATTAAATTATTCCATCCATTACAGAAGCCTATTCTCCCCACTTATTTTATTGATAACTTAGCTTATGTCTGTGCTTCTCAAGTATCACTGATACTGATATAATCAATTATTTGAAGTGAAGTTACTGAAAACCCCTTCTAGATCTCATTTAAGAAATTTGCAAGTGGCAAAACTTCCATGAACTGATTAAGCAAGCCTTTAGCCCCCTCTGCTGTTCAAATACTGACCACACAGTTTTAATATTATTTAATTACTCCATTGTTCAAAAAATAGGGACAGGAGGAATGAGCCAGGCAAGACGGTGCTAATCTGAATCTGCATGGAATAATTTAGATTTAATTTAGGACCAGGCAATAGTACTATCAGATTTTAAACAGGTACATAACTATCATATTCAAAATAGCTAACACACTTTCATTTTTCGTACTTAGAAAGAACTGACATATGGATTAAACCTCTCGATATTGAGAAGTGAACAGCATCAAAAACAAGGCACTTGCTTCTATTCTCCAGTGTGAATACAGCACTATTTATAGAAGGAGAGATTTCAGAGTGTTTTATAACAAGAAAATTATGCATGGATGTTCAGACTTCTGATACTTTCCTAGGTAATGAGAATGGAGATTGAAAAAACCAACTAGTTTCCTTTTCAATAGGGACATGCTTTGGCTTGGAAGTAGAAAAGGTGATAAGATGTGAACACCCTCACAAAACTGGTCTGTACCTCCTAAAAGGAGCCCCCTTTTTCCTTGCTCATGCAGTAGCTGCAGTCCCAGGAAAATACAGTGGTACCTCGGGTCACGAACACGTCTGTTCACGACCAATTCAGGTCATGAACAGCACCGTTCGCAAAATTTTGCTTCCGTTTGCGAACTCCGCATCGGGTGACAAACAGGATCCGTGGCCATTTTCCCTGACACATGTGGTCGTGGCTTCCTGTAGGGAGGGGGTCTCTCCTTCTAAACAATAACCTCCCCTCCCGCCTTTCTGTCCTCCACGCCTCAAGCAAGGTTAGCGTTCTCTCTCTTCATAGTGTACTGTACTGTACTGTGTGTCATATTTTTGTGGTTAAAA